TACCATGCCTGACCTATTTTTTTTTTTTTTTTTTTACAAACTAGGTCTTTCGATGTTGCCCAGGCTGGAATGTAGTGGCTGTTCACAAACATGACCATGACACACTACAGCCTCAAACTTTTGGGCTGGACTGATCCTGCCTCAACTTCTGGGTCTATAGAGAAGCTTAATTTTTTTTTTTTTTTGAGTTGGAGTCTCACTCTGTTACCCAGGCTGGAGTGCAGTGGCACGCTCACAGCCACTGAAACTTCGATCTGCTGGGCTCAGGTGGTCCTTTCTGACCAGGTGCCTGGCAGGATGCAATTGTTCCTCTTATCTTCTGCTCCTAGTTCAGTGCCTGGCACATGGTCAAAGCACAGTAACTGATTGTCAAAAGAATTAATGAGCTAGGGTGATGGATTAGTTGACCTCTGATTAAATATCTTAGGTGTAAACCATATGACCACTTAGTGGGGATGTTGTAGAAGAACATAGACATAAGCCCAGGTACTTTATCATCTTCAGCAGCCCTGATTCTTGGTTCTTCTCAGCACTCCGATTCAATATCGCATTTATTTATTTATTTAGAGTCAAAGTCTCACTCTGTCACCCAGGCTGGAGTGCAGTGGAATGCTCACAGCCATAACAGCCTTGACTTGCTGGACTCAGGTGATCCTTCTGCCTCAGCCCTCTAAGTAGCTGGAACTGCAGGCACAAGCCACCACGCCCAGCTAATCTTTTTATTTTTGTTGTAGTGATGAGGTCTCACCAATTTGCCCAGGCTGGTCTTAAACCCGTGCACTCAGGCAGTCTTCTCCCCTCGGCCTCCCAAAATGCTAGGATTATAGGCGTGAGCCACCACATCAGCATAATATCACATTTACTTCCCTCAGTTGTGAAATAGAGAATCTTAATTATAGAAAGGCACAACATTGATCCGAACATTGCCTCCTAAGCAAGTTTGTATTTTGAGGTCCCAATAAATCATTTAAGAGAATAGTGAAGTTATATATATACATACACACAAACACGTACACGTGCGCATGCATACACACACACACACACACACACACACACACACACACACACACACACACACATACACATATTGCCATTGAGATGGGTGATTTTGGAGTTCGCACTTAGTCCAAATTTCTTACTCATTCCACCCTAGGTGCTGTGGGATGTTGGAGAAGTTACTTCTCTGAGCCTTGATTTCTTTATCTGTTAAATGAAGATAGTAATACCAATTTCATAGTATGGATGAGAAAATTCAACAAGATAGTGTGTGTGTGTGTGTGTGTATATATATATATATTTTTTTTTTTTTTTTTT